ATATATATATATATATATATAATGCCCCAACTTTAATTTAGAAGCTGCTAATATTTTGGTAACTTTTTGACCCTTTGATATATTTACTTTAGTTAACAAAGAAATAGAATATGAGAATTTCATAACCACCGGCATTTCATTTGATCTCATCTACGATATTTGCTTACAGCAGTAGGCTACGCTACATACACGGGTATAATTTTAGAATTTTGTTTGCCCTTAGTGGCAGTAAATGGTTGCAGCTTTGCTTTTTTTCTTTCCTTTGAATCACGATCACATGTCTAAATTTGCCTATTTTCCCCGCTGAACAAGCCAAGACCCAGATATTCTTCACATTTAATTGTCCTGCTGGAATGTCGTAATGCCTTTTCAAATTAAGGTAGATCCCCACCAGGATATTTTTTTAAAAGAAAGCCTGGCCAAGTATAACAGTCATGTCATGTACACATATTATAATTACAGTTTCAGAAGAAAGAGGGTCTTTTTTTTTTTTTTTCTTTTCTTCATAATGACATTTAACGAGTGAATTCTTGATCGCTTTTATTTTTTCTTTTCCTCCCTTTTACACAGAAGAGCAATTTTTATAAGATTTACTCATTTTCAAGGCTTCTGATGTAGGAGCTAGCATGCATACACAACAATACAATTTATATGGTAAATGGAACCAAATAATGACTTTACTGAATGTTATGGCTTGGCTGAAGGAAAATGTCACACTAAATAGCTGCCAAATTATGGATCATGCCAAAGTGTCACAAGTGCACTAAAGACAAATGGCACCTGAGGTTATTGCCACTGTGACACTCTTGAATTATGAAACTGAGGACTGTCCTCTTGTTAAGCATTTTATGCCCTCATTATAGTAAAGAGTGTTTGTGCAGGATAAGTGAAAAACACTTTACAAAATTCTGGCATTCAGCTGTACACTTCAGTGTGTGTGTGTACACGAATATAATGATACACTGTTTTTTATGTCATGCATTATTTGAACAGTATTTTTCACAGAAGGTGGTCTGTTTAGAAATACAGGTGAAACTCGAATAATTAGAATATTGTGCAAAGTTAATTTATTTCACTAATGCAACTTAAAAGGTGAAACTAATATATGAGATAGACTCATTACATGCAAAGCAAGATAGTTCAAGCCGTGATTTGTCATAATTGTGATGATTATGGCTTACAGCTCATGAAAACCCCAAATCCACAACCTCAAAAAAGTAGATTATTACATGCAATCAATAAAACAAGGATTGTACATCGAACAATATCGGACCTCTGAAAAGTACAAGCATGCATATGTACTCAGTACTTGGTTTGGGCCCCTTTTGCAGCACTTACTGCAATTACTTTTGCACGATATTCTAATCGAGTTTCACCTGTATATATAAGTTTTTGTAGCATATTCTTTTCAAGTACAGTTGATTGAACCTTTGCGAAACCCAAGAACAAAAACTCTTAAATGGGGTACATTCGTTTTCCTTTTTTAAGGTGTTCTTTTTTTTTTTTTCACCTGAAAATCCTGCCCCAATACACGTCCTGTTCTTGGGGGCAAAGCTCACTCATCATACTGTATCCATGGAGGAGCAGCATTGTCAGTGTAGGACAGAAAGAGTTAGGACTACAAAACACTTTCTCCTCATCTCCATAACATAGGGAGGAAGTGTTTTTTAGTCCACAGAGCGATCTGGGAACAATGTTAACTGATGGAGTGCACCACAGGCAGTGTACACGAAGCTATCTGCTCACTGTATTTCAACAGGTATTTTTCCTGCTCTTTGAATATATATAATAGTCAGAAAACACTCTCCCCGGATGCATAATCGATGCATCCAGGGATAGTTATTGATTCCTAACCACATGTAATCATATCACTTCATTACATGTGGTGTGCAGGCATTTACATGTAGCAGCTGTCAATTGATCATTACCTTGAATTGGTGACAGCTGCTGTAAACGCCAGATTAAGGATTCCTGTTGCAGGAAAACGTAAGTTCCTGATGCAGGAATCCCTAATCGCACCCAAACTTACAGATGTGAATGGAGCCTAATACACATTCCCCCTCAACCTCCCCGCTCCCCCCATATGCATAAAAAAAAATACTCTACCCCTACCTCCATAAAAAAAAATGCTACCACTGCACATATAAAATAATACCCCCCAGCACATATAAAATAGTACAACTCCGGTCCCCTCCCCCCACATATAAAATAAAACAAAGAGCCCGCTTTCCTGCTTACATTGTTGCAGGAAAGAGGCATGCTCCCTAGTGATCCAGTGGTTGATTAGTAAGGTCTGGTACAGACCTTTACTAATCCATCCTTTCGGACAGCACTCTGAAATCCTTCAGTGAACGCTGGCTGAGAGGATCCGAGTGCCGACACAGAGAAGCAGCTATTCTGTCTTCATCCAACAGAGTTGTAGACTGTGTAGCAGGTCAGGTATGCAGTCTGTTGACCGCGTGCCCAACTTGTCAGCTGCCTGTGGGCCACATAGTACCGGCTTGCGGTCTGGAATTGGCCTGCAGGCAGGTACTTTGAGACCCCTTGCTTTGGACATTTGAAAACCATTTAGAGCTCTGTAAAGGTCACACCATCTTCAGAGACCATGTCATGATAGGGTTGCAACATAATATAAACTATATTGTACCAAAGACTGGCATTTTTATGGGCAAAGTGACAGCTTCCTTTGAAGAAGGTTGCTGTCACGTACCTGAAGTCCTGAGGAAGGCCTCTCTTTGCAACTCTCATCTGAGCACCACTGGGGATGGAACAGCAGATGCACAGAAAGAGAGGGGCACGAGTGCCTATGGTGTCGATGCTGATCACACTTGGGGAGGTGACACAGATATTTGGATACTGAAGTAAAAAGTCTGACTATCAGGAGAGAATGTAGATAGTATATCAGATGGCACCATTGCGAGTAGCAGAAGTGTAGTTGGGAACAAGCCAGGATGGTATCTTATGGTCAGCGCAGTACAGAATCAGGAGGCAAAGCAAAGTCAGGAGCAGGCCAGGTTGATAACCTGTGAGCAGAGAGGTACTGAATCAGGAGGTAGAAGAGTGGTCAGTAGACAAGTCTAGGTTACAAGGCAGACAGCAGGATCAGGAGTGAAGTCGGGTCAAAAGCAGGTTTCAGCAGCAGAATAAGGTATAACACATAGAAAAAGTTGAAGATCTCTCAGTAACGTGATTGCAGTGAATATCCTTAAATAGCCTGCCTAGTACCACGGCCAGGAACAAGCATGCGCACATGTGCTGCATCCATGCACATGACTGTGTGTGATACTGGCTAGACATGTGCACTAGCAAAAAATTCGTTTAGTTTAGTTTCGTTTTTCGGGTCCGAAATTAAATTAGTTTCGGACGAAATTCGTTAGCGTTAGTCCTGCCAAAATTCGTTTATGAAACAAAAAAAAAAACTTTACTCTCCAATGGCTGTCATTCGTCTTAGCTGTAATTCGGAATTCGGATGCATCCGAATCTCCGAAAATTCGTCCAAAACGAATTTCGGAACAAACCGAATCGCACATGTCTAATACTGGCACCATAGCGCCTTACTCGCACATGCATTTGCACAGCGGCTCGGTTTAGGTTGGATTGCCCTGACAGTTGCTCTGTTTGAGCACTCAGGAAAACCCAATCCTGGGTATGGTGACTGCCTCCTCTAACTCCCAGGATGCAGTGCGCGGACAAGAGTGGCCAGTTAACATACCACCTTCTGTCCCTCTTTCGTCCTCGGTTGTCCCTCTTTTTGGTCTGATGTACAGGTATCTATGGAGTTGTACTGTTTAACTACCAAAAGTGCTACTAAACTTTTTATATTGTCTCTTAATTATATTGTTTGCTATTTCAAGAAGAAAGTGTAAAGGAAAAGTAATGGTGAAAAAGAAACAATTCTCAGTTTAAGCATCCTTTTTGGCATATACTTTAAATTCTTGGTCAGCATAACTGGGAGTGTGGCAGGGGTGTGTCCATTGCCTAATGACATTGTGCTGGAAGGTGCCCCTTTTACTTATCTCAGACAGTTGGGAGGTATGCACTTTCCAGACCCAAACACTGTGTTTTTAAAGTTTATACTGAGTT